AGTGTAGATTTTCCCCAGAAAGCAACTGGATCCCTGTTGGTTGTTTTAACCAAAAGCTGTTGTAAATATCGGGAGCTCACCTTGGCATATAGACAACAATCAAACAAAGTATGTACAATGTCCTTGAAGGCTGGTGGACCACAGACACATGTTCTGTCATTGTAAGGTATCTTTTTGGAAATCATCCTGTTCTTACCATACAATTAAGTTGCTTGAATCTGGCTCAAAATGGAGGATATGTGACACTCTCCATAAAAAAAGTTTTTTAAAATGTGCCGATTAGTAAACTTACTGCTTCATCGTATTAGGCAGAGAAGTGTGTGGCAGGGGAGAGCAGAGAATTGCTCAGTCATACTCAGTTTTTTAATGAAATGGATGTTTTTCTACTTTCTATCACACTGTCTCTCTTTTTCCTCTCAGTATTTTTTCACTGCTGAGATTTGGTCCCACCACCATCCCTCCCTCTGCTCATTGTTGAAAACCAAGAGGGAGGGAAAGCAGTCATACTCTCTCCCTTTGGCTCCCTCTCTCCCCCTCCCTCGGCTGCCCCACTGCCTCTCTGTTGTGCTGTTGTAATTTTAGAGTTTTTTTAAATACTGGCTACCAGGGAGGAAACAAACAAGGACATCTAATCACCTCTCAACAAAAGTTTGCTCTAGACACTGTCAAGCCATTATATGCTAATCAAGGTGGTCAGTTGAAACATTCACACCTAGCTCCAGCAGACAAGAGTCCTTTGTCTCACCCTAGTCATTCCACAGATATATAAACCCTTTTTCCTAGTTCCAACAGACCTCACTAACTCTGAGGATGCTTGCTATAGATGCAGGCGAAACGTCAGGAGAGAATGCCTCTAGACCATGGCCATATAGCCCGAAAAAACCTACAACAACCCAACTTTCTGCCTTCTTTTCCCTTAAGACACCCAAGAAAAAGCTAAAAGCAAAATGGTGTTGTCCCATATTCTCAAATGTGTCTTATGCTAAATTATGTTTAAATTATGTTTACTTATTTATTAATGTTATTAATTTTACAATATATACAACATAATGATGTGATAATAATGCATAATTTAAAATCTTGTTTGTTTGTTTTTTCTCATCCATTGTCCCTACCCCATTAGACATGAGGGATTTCTTTTGGTTAGAATAAATGGGGCGTCAGAGAAAGGTAAAAATACAGGGGGTGGGAGACTATAGAAAGGGCCTCTGGGTCTCATACAACCTAAACACATCTTGTTCATCAGTGCTATATAACGGCACTCCTTGCAGTCATGCCAGCCACATGACCTTGGATGTGTCTATGGACAACGCTGGCTCTTCGGCTTAGAAATGGAGATGAGCACCAACCCCCAGAGTCGGAAATGACTGGACTTAATGTCAGGAGAAAACCTTTACCTATACATAAATTTATTCATCCATTCCCACCGCTTGATGTTGTTACAGTTTCCTTTAATCCAGATTTTGTAAATGACTTGCAGTTCTGGAATTGCCCAGAAATAACAAATTTCTCTCTTTCTACATATCAGGAGAGAGAAATATGCACCATAACAATTTTATCTAAAGGTATTTTAATTGCTTAAACCAGAGTCTAACCACTTTAAAAAGTACATGTAAGTTTTTTATTTAGTTTCCTATCTTGACATGCAGCTTTTGATTCTATCATTCCCTCATTATGTAAATTCTACTAATCCTCATTACGAAGGACGCAGGATTGCTTTGCTTTCACGATGAGCTTGTAATCAAAAGTGTTTTGCATATCATACTTATAAAAAACCGAAAAGATTAATCCCAAAGTTTGACAGGCAAAGACTGAATCCACTCTCTTTTTAGGAAATTGCTGTTGTTGTTGTTTGAAAAGGGGGATTCTTTTGCAAATACTTTCTTCAAAAGGAGCAATATATATAAACATTGATAAAAAGACTACTTCTGAACATATGCAGTCTATTTTTTCAATGCTCAGCCTCCTCTGATAAGATCAGAGGAAATGGATAAGATCAGAGGATAAGATCAGAGGAAATGGATGCATCAAACAGAGGAAATCTTACAGGTTATCAAGAATTAAGTTTATTATTTCTGTACACCCCCTAGATATTCAAGCAATTTTGCAAAACCAAAAAGGTATTGTACTCAATGAGAAAGCTGTATTTTACAAACAGAGTCATGTTGGAAGATCTAAAAAATTCTAGAGGTATTCTCTCTGGAAAAATAATAACAGTGGGTTGTTGTAGGTTTGTTTTTTTTGGGGGGGCTATATAGCCATGTTCTAGAGGCATTCTCTCCTGATGTTTCGCCTGCATCTATGGCAAGCATCCTCAGAGGTTGTGACCTCACAATCTCTGAGGATGCCTATTATTATTATTATTATTATTATTATTATTATTATTATTTCGAGCTTTTATAACCCGGTCTTCTCAACCTCCAAAGAGGGACTCAGGCCAGCTAACAGCATAGGATTAAAATACAGTAAGATAAACCACAGTAAACATCATAATACAGTAGTACAAAAATACATTAAAATACAATTATACAACTTACAAAAGATCAGTTCGTCAGAATAAATCATAAATTCATCGCCATCCGCACGTGTGGTCAGCAGTTATTGACTCAGTCATCATTCTGCAAATGCAGTATTCCAAAGCCATGTTTTTACCAGCTTTCTAAAAGTCAGGAGGGAAGGGGCAGATCTAATCTCCATCGGGAGGGAGTTCCAGAGCCAAGGGGCCACCACCGAGAAGGCCCTGTCCCTCATTCCCACTAATCGTGATTGCGAAAGAGGTGGAACCGAGAGCAGGGCCCTTCCAGAAGATCTTAATAACTTTGATGGTTCATAGGGGAGAATCCGTTTGGACAGGTAAATTGGGCCGGAGTTGTTTTTAAGCAAGTGTTTGGAATGACATGAGGCAAGCTGAGGAAGGGCGTCCCCACCAATTGCGATTTCGAAAGAGGAGGGACCGAGAGCAGGGCCCCTCCTGAAGATCTTAATAACCTTGCCATAGATGCAGGCAAAACATCAGGAGAGAATGCCTCTTGAACATGGCCATATAGCCCGAAAAAACCTACAACAACCCAGTGATTCCGGCCATGAAAGCCTACGACAATACAAAATAATAACAGTTTATTTATTTGCAGTACTAAACTTTCACAAGGATTTTTTACCCCTAATACTAGCAAGCTATTGGGGGAATTGAGCATCCTAGGACACTTCCACCGTGTCTAATGGACAGAACCCCATACCAGCCATCATACAACATTCTGTGAGTTCCAGCTGAGATCCCATGCCCAACTAGGGTGAAAGCCTTTCTGGATGCTTTCCCGACAACAGGCTTCCCGTGTCGTGTTGGCTCCAATGGAGCCAGCACAGGGCCTCACCAGGGGGACCACACTTCCCCCCATGTGATGGTGAAAGCATTGCTGAGAGGGAGCTGTGTATGGGGTAACAAACTCACCCCACTGCCACTCTCCTTTCTCAAAGAAGCCAGGCAAAGAGTGATGCTTAACCTAGGCTTTGTGATGAGGCCCTAAATGTATAAGGGGTATTTTTTAAGTAAGGTCCATTTTGTTGTAGACACTAGTAGTGCGCGCGCATACCGCAACAAGCGCGTGCGTCGTGTACCGGCATGCCTCGGGAACAACTGTGCTCAGTTTCCGCTCTGTAGCTAACATGTACAGTTCTGTTCTGTGTTTTAAAAATGTTTAAGACTATCAACTCACCCGCCGCATGTGAGGTTCGCTCAGTGATATGGTTTTTGTCAGCAAGGAACCTGCCTGCTGCAGAATTCATCGACAAATTTGTGAAGTGTACGGTGATACTGTTATGAGTGAAAGCAAAGTGCGTAAGTGGGTACGACAATTCAAAGATGGCCGTGACAACGTCCATAATGACGACGACGTGAAAACGGCAGTGAACTCTTGGTTATCGAAGCAGGCGGCAAGTTTTTATGAAGAGGGTATTTTAAAATTGGTTCAGAGATATGATAAGTGTTTGAACAAACTTGGCCACTATGTTGAAAAATAGAGTGAAGTATGTACTTTCTGAAAATAAATTTACTTTTTTGAAATAAACTTTCGTTGTGTACTTATGTTCAAATGGACCTTACTTAAAAATACCCCTCGTATTTTCATCTCTTTTACCCGCCAAATAGTTCTAATCTCCTCCTGCCCCAAATATGTTTTGCCTTCTTCAACCTACCAGCCTTCCTCACCTAACCCACATGATGACTGGTTTATCATTTCCATACATGGCCTTTCAAACAATCATTATTATTAAATATAATTAATTTGTAATAATTGTAAAATGGCCAAAATGATAAACATTTGAAGCAGGGCTTAGAAAATTACTATTTGCAGTTCATTCCATTACATGCTCATTCTATTACATGCTTTAAAAATAGCTCACTGTCATTGCTTACAGCAGTGGCTGAATATGCCTTGTTGTGCTATTTGTTGTACACCTTGTGACTTTCCTTTATAATTTCTAATAGTAAAAGTAATCTTGAGAAGAGTATGGATGAAAACATGAAAGATTCCTGTAAAATGCCTTTAAAGGGTGTCCAGAAGTAGGTTTTTTAAATAAAAAAACCAACTAGAATATGTTGCCTTGTTACTTGACTTTTAGACTGTGACTTAGTTCCATCCTCATTCCCCCCTCCCTCCCAAAAAAAGCAACCACCCACAGGTGACTGGTGCTTGTAACCTGTTATTTCCAAAATCTGATTTCAACCAGCTCAGATCCCTTCTACACTACCATATAATCCAAATTATCAAATACAATAATCCACATTATCTTCTTTGAACTGGATTGCATGAGTTTACACTGCCATATAATCCAATTCAAAGCAGATAATCTGGATTTTATATGGCAGTGTAGAAGGGGCCTCTGACCCCAGATAATTAAGAATCAGATAAAAGAAGGATCTTCCCAGTACAGAATCTTCCAGGGCTGGTAATTAACTTACATCAGAAGAAAATCTGCAATTCAAATAAGTTCATATTACGTACCTTTGACATCCCCAAGGCCCATGATGATGATAGCTCTGGTAGCCAATGTTTGTTCCCAACCTAGGTTGGATGAAATCATGAACACATGAAAAATGTTGCTGAAATGTGCAGTTCTCACACTGTCTGGTGTGACAAGCTGGGAAAATTGGCAATTGAAATGCCTTCATTGGAACGTCTGTGGTGCAACACCCGGCAGTATGTGGAAATGGAAAATGTGGGTGAGCCAAGGAACAAATCAGAAGAACACCAAGATGTCAGCATGGAGAAAAAGTTGAGATGCTAGCCTTCCAACAAGCACAGTGGAAAAGTCTCACTTGGCCATGGAGAAGATCAGTCCAGCCAGCAACGGATGAGATTTTCAAAGATGAAGATTTGCCACCACACTGTGTCCTAATAGCTAACACCCTGTGATGAGATTTTCCATTGTTATTGCTCCTTAGTTATTCTTTCTTTATGGTCTGTCCACAGACACCAGATGGAATACCAGATTAGTAAGCAAGAGATGTAAAGATAGCTCGGATGTCTCCAACTGCTCACTCCTCCACAGATATCCCTGACTCCTATGTCATTAATGTTATAGCTATATCTAATCTCCTAATTATGTGTTACCTTAGGAACCTCCCATGGGAGGTTCTTCCTATCCCAAGGCCGCCTTTCATTTTCTAGTCCAGTTTATTCCCGTATAATGATTGTCAGAAACTACGTTCATGGTGAACCTAAAAAGAAGGGTTTGGTAGGTAGTCAAATAAGGCTAATTGATGGTCCCCTAATGTTCAGGCTATTGTCCAAGGGGTACCCAACATCATGTGTTCTGTGGCAACATGGTTTGCCATTCATTCACTTTACCTGAATGAGTAGGGGCTGGATGCTGGTCTCTCATCTGGTTTTGTCTGATCTTAAGAGTTTTGGAACTTCATAATTCCAGGGAGAAGAATTTAATTTCAAGGACATTATTTTCTAAAATGAAATTCTGATCATGTTTTCTACTTTTCTTTACAAAAGCTTTTTCTCTCTGTTGCCTCCCGAAGCACCATGAACTTCATCCTGAAGCACCAGGAGGGGTCAGCTTTTGGACTTTCAACTGACAAATGTTGACCTGGGCTTTCACCAAGTATCATCAGATTCTGAACCCATTAGGCACAACCACCTGATTGCAGTGTGTTTTAGTTCCTAGCTCTGCAAGGAAACTGAGCAAATCCTACTCGCTATACCAGGTATGGGCAAACAAAGGTCCGGGGGCCAGATGCAGCCCCCTGGGTGCTTACCTCCAACCCTCCTCATTTTCCCTGTCCTCTTGGCATAAAGACGCGGTGGCCCACCACATCCTTATGCAGAAATGATGAGGGAGGAAGTTACACAGTAGCTGAGAACCCTCTGGAACACTTTGAGCCACTACATGCCTCACCCTCCTCCCGGCATAAGGATGGTGTGAGCAGCCCTGTCCTTATGCCAAGAGGATGGCCTGAGGAAGACACACAGTGGCTAAGAACCCTCTGGAGCATTCTCAGCCATTGCCTGTCTCACCCTCCTCCCAGCATAATGCCAAGAGGACAGCCCAACGATTGAAGGAGGAGGATCAGGGCAGTCACCGCATGTCTTGTTTTCCTCCCAGCATAAAGATGGGGTGAGCTGTCTCATCCTTATGCGAGGAGGACAACTTGAGGATGACCTGGTCCCTGCCCTGCCCCACTCCCTCCCAGCCCCACCCTCTCCCAGGCCATTCCCATCCCAGGCCCATCAAACCCAGAATGTGCCTGTTCATCCTCCCTCCCAGCCCAGCTCTCCGAGCCAGGTCCACATTACAGACTCAAGACAAAAAAGTTTGCTCATGCCTTCTCTATCTGACTTGAAAAGCACCCTTCCCAATAGACTGAAGAACTTGATAGGATGTAAATTGAACAGACATATGTAAGGTGGTAAGACTGATGTGTTTGTCTCATATTGGCTAAAGAGTAATAGGGAAAATTGACATGTAGACTTAAGATACAATCCCATGTGTCTGTCATCTCAGGTGAACTCAGAAATCCATTTGAGTATCTTGGAGAAAAGAGGTAAGAGTACAATTTCCAGATTTTCCAGAGGTATTTATGGAACAAAAAGAGGAATGGGAGAGAAACAGCATATGATAAGTATAGCAAAATGAAGGAAAAACAAAAATGTTCAGTAAAATCAAAGATAGAAGGAAAAAAGGTAGCCCAAAAATGCAGGTACATTTGTTCAATGAAGCCATATACTGAGTTTGCAAAATCATGGAGATCTCAAATTCATATGGTCACCATAAATTGAAGACCAATCAGCAGTAAGAAGAATATTTATTTATTTATTTACAGCTTTTATATTCTGCCCTTCTCACCCCGCAGGAGACTCAGGGCGGATTACAGTGTACACATATATGGCAAACATTCAATGCCAATTTTGACATACAATGTATACAGACATACACAGAAAGTGTTGGCTGTGAAATGCTACGTTTTATCATACAAACAAGCACATCAAGCCAGGACACAATAATGATGACTCATGTTTTGCAACTTGGATGTGTGAAATAATTGTAGAGTCACACCAGTTCTAAGGTAGGATAAGTTCTACATGTCTCATTATGTTTTTTCTATGCCAAAATTTCAAGGAAGTATTCAAGGTACTATCGCCAAAATAATTTCATCACATTGGACAGCTCCTTAACAGTTTAGACCAAAACTTCTATGTGACGTCACAAGAGCTTTTTTCTATCTGCTTTGTCAGGATTCCTTGCTTCACAGATTCTGCGGTTACTAGCCACCACTGGTTGTGAGCATGGGTGACACAATTAAGCATATTGTACAGCTGAAGTCACAACTGAAATCACAGCACAGCAAAAGCAAAAGCTTTCAGGGTATGGGGAGACCAGGAACATTAACGAAAGGAAAGCGAGAATACTCTGCACACAAATGTCTAGATAAGGATTTTTTTATTATACAATTGCTATGCAAGTCCCTTGGGGAGATGGTGGCGGGGTATAAATAAAGATTATTATTATTATTATTATTATTATTATTATTATTATTATTATTATGTATTAATCATTAGGGAGCCCAAAAGATAATTTCTTCTATCTCTAGTCCTCCAAATTTTCCTTGCATTTCTCTGGTCTCTTTCTGAGAATAGACAAATAGTCTAACATGTTTTTGAATGGTAATGCTAGTAGCTATTCTTGGTGTGACAGTCTCCTTTCTTTCTTTCTTTTTTCTTTTTTTTTTTTTGAGACTGTGCTTTCCTCTCCTCTCTCAGAGACTGGACATTCAGTGTCATTCAAGGCTTTTTGTAGAGCCCAAATGTTTGACCCCCCCCCCCTTTAACTGCCCTGGTTCAATGGTATGGAATGATGGGAGCTGAATTTATTTATTATTTATTTATTTACTTTACTTATATACCGCTGTTCTCAGCCCGAAGGCGACTCACAGCAGTTCACAACAAATAAGGACAGCAAAAATTCAATGCTACAGTGTAAAAACAACCTAACATATTACATAATTAATAAACAATTACTACAATAACCATTCACTATTCACTATTGTCTCATCATCAAAAACATGATCCAGATTCGTCATCCATTATTCCGTTCCAATGTTCATTAACCAATCATTGCACTAATTATTCGAACGCCTGCTCAAACAGCCAGGTCTTCACTTTCCTGCGGAATACCATTAGAGATGGTGCTAGTCTAATGTCCGTAGGAAGGGCGTTCCACAGCCGAGGAGCCACCACCGAGAAGGCCCTATCTCTCGTCCCCGCCAGCCGAGCTTGAGAAGCAGGCGGGATCAAGAGCAGGGCCTCCCCGGAAGATCTCAAAGTCCTGGTGGGTTCATAGGCAGAGATGCGGTTGGATAGGTAGCTTGGGCCGGAACCGTTTAGGGCTTTAAAGGCCAACGCCAGCACTTTGAATTGAGCCCGGTAGCAAATCGGTAGCCAGTGGAGTTGGCGCAACAGGGGGGTTGTATGCTCCCTGCGCTCCGCTCCTGTTAAAATCATGGCTGCCGAGCGTTGGACTAGCTGGAGTTTCTGAGCCGTCTTCAAAGGCAACCCCACGTAGAGAGCATTGCAGTAGTCTAGACGGGATGTAACCAGAGTGTGGACTACCGTGGCCAAGTCAGACTTTCGTACGGGCGCAGCTGGCGCACAAGCTTTAGCTGTGCAAATGCTCCCCTGGTCACCGCCGAAACCTGGGGTTCCAGGCTCAGCGATGAGTCCAGGATCACACCCAAGCTGCGAACCTGCATCTTCAGGGGGAGTGCGACCCCATCCAACACAGGCTGTAACCCTATGCCCTGTTCGGCCTTGCGACTGACCAGGAGTACCTCTGAAGTTTGGTGAAGTCCTAGCACACTTTGTCAGAGAAGGCTAAAGAGTGGGGCACACAAGCTGTATTCATTTATTTATGAGCAGACACTTTTGCATAGATGAGAACAATTGTGTATTGAAGATTAAACAATTAATGATCATGAGAACTCACAGTTTGTCATTTATCACTAACAACTTCTCTTGAACCATTACCAAACATTTACTTTGGTGTATCTGGATCCATTAAGCTTTCCCTGACCAGTGAAGTGTGAAGGTTGTGGAGAGCTCATGTAACTTTAATAGTTGTGTAGAAGAGCTATTTTAGCAAGTGTTGTTTGTAACCTAGTTGTGTGACAAACAACGTGCTGCTGAAATTCCCAATTCTATAGGAGTACTCTTCATTTTTTACTCTGGCACTCCCAATGTTGCAACCATGTTTTTAATATTGATGTCCTGTATTCTCATTATAGCCTTCATCTCCATTTTTCAGATTATATTTGTATTCATTGCTCAGTAAATGAGTTCATTCAAAAACATTTAAACCTTTCAACCAAGTTGCCTGTTAGGGCTGTCCAACCACGGAAAAATTTGTTTCTAGATTCGATTCGTTTTTAGGGGGTTTTTGTGTTTCGTTTTTTAAAAGAATTCTGAAATTTTTCTTTTAAAAAGTTCGATATTTACAAAATTTCGGAAATTACGAAACAATTTCGAAACAATAACAAATCGATTTGTTAATGGCGGACGTGATTGCGCAATACGCTAAAAAACCCTCCAAATGGGACAGGGGGAACTTCTGAAGCTTCCCTCTCCCTCTGTTGTTGACGGTTGGTGTGATAATTTATTTTTTTATCACTGATAAAACAAACAACAACTATAAAACTTGCACCAGACATACGGAAATAATAACGAAATAATAACGAAACAATTACGAAACAATTTCGAAACAATTACGAAACAATTACGAAACGAATTGGAAAAATTCGTTTCGTTTTTTAGTTGCTCCTGAATGGTTCAATATCGCTTCGTTATCAAAAAAATAACGAATTAATAACGAATTACGAAATTAACGAATGAAACCGCCCAGCCCTATTGCCTGTTTGTGATCTGCACCTTGAATCAACCATCTGGACTACAATGTAAACAAAATCTCTCCCCAGAAATGGCGGATCATGGAAAGGATGGATGTAGAAATGAAGTGGAGAAAATTCTGGA